ACTTTTATCATGAACTGCCCTCTTAAAAATGTTTAATTGTAATCAGTAGTAATTGCCCATGATTAACTAAAAAAAAAAAAAAAAAAAGTTCATTGAAATAATTTGGTATTGCTCAAAGAATCAAAGAAAAAAAATTGAGTAGCCAGTCTTCAGAAAAGAGAGGAATGAAGTCCCTCTGTAAATAAGTGTAGCTAGGGTAGCAGGCTCTTCAGAATGTGGCAACTGTGATGAATCAGCTGCAGCACTTTTCTTAGGCTCTATTTAAGATTAACATTTCCTGTAGAGTTTTTTTTTTGTTTGTTTATTTGTTTGTTTGTTTGTTTTTGCATATCTTCATATATGTGGCCATCTCTTCTCCAAAATGTTCTGGACATCTTGAGTACCATCAAGTTTGCATGAATTTGAAAAAAGTTTAAATCCTTAAAGGCAAATTGTGTTGACATAATCAGAAGAGAGGATGGGAATACAAGCATGGTGTCTGCTAATCTGCTATCATTAAGTTTAGAAATATAATTCATTTTTATTCTTTTTATTTATTTATTTTTTTTTTGAGACCGGTCCTCACTCTAACACCCAGGCTGGAGTGCAGTGGCACAATCACCACTCACTGCAAATTCCACCTTCTGGGCTCAGATAACCCTCCCATTTCAGCTTCCCAGCCACTAAGACTACAGGCACATACCACCATGCCTAGCTAATCTTCTGTAAAGACCAGGCTTTGCCATGTTGCCTAGACTAGTCTCTAAGTCCTGAACTCAAGCAATCCACCAACCTCAGCTTCCCAAAATGCTGGGATTACAGGCCTTGAGCCATAGTGCCTGGCCTCAGTAGTTTATTTTGAAGTTTACTTAACATTGAATCCCTTAGAGGCATGTAGTATTATTCCTATGTTATAAGTAAATAGGTCCCTGGCCACACAGCTAGCAAATATGGTTCCAGGATTTTGCTGAAATCTATATCAAACCTGCATGATCCTTACAGCAATATACATACACACGCAAATATGTACACACACATATCAACAAACTTTATAGTAGAATAAAATTTCAATTTAAATGATTCATCTATTTTGATTGATTAAATTTCCCCAGGCTTTTGTATTACATTAACTTTTGGCATTTTGGGAGTACTGATGATATATTTGTGTTCATCTAGTTCACTCACCTGCACTTTCTGTTTGTGAACACTACTATGCAAATTAATAGCTGGTGTTAAGAATGCTACCTGTGAATATAAAGAAGAACATTTTAATTGATCTCTTTAGCTTATCAAATAGCTGTAGTGATAATCACCAGCAGTCATTAGGGAATTCATTTTGTAACAGACCTTCAGAACACTGAAGACACACAGATATATGAGATATGGTCTTTTGCAGAAACCCTCTTGTTATATAGCTGTAGAAGAGATCTTACATGAAAACTCATTTTTAAAAATCCAGTGTTAAATCTGAAAATAAGAATTCATCTTGTAAGACTTTCTCACTGAACAGATGAAGAAACAGAAAAGCACAGATGAAAAGCTCCAATTAGTACAGTAGGTTAGTGGCAGGGTCGTGGCCAGAAACATTGTCCTTTAATTCTCCACGTATGGTTCCTGATGGTGTAGCACAAGGAGCATTTGGTGAACTCCGCGGGTCACACACCCTGAAGGTTTTCTTTAAAAAGCGCATGACTTCTGATGTAATTGAAAAGGTATGCTGCTTTAATGCTACTCGTTTGTCTTCAAGGAATAGCAGGACTAAAATAATTGGAAAGGAGGAAAAAGAGGAATACAGAATGACCAACATGAGGAAAGGCACAGAATTGGAGATGTGTGTGGTATATTTGTTCACCAGTTAATACATCAGTTTGACTGGTTAGGAGTTTAGATAGGAAAGCAGAGGGGAAAAAAAACAAAAGGAAGCTGAATTACAGAGATGTAGGTGACTGAAACTAAAGTTAATTTTAGGCAACATAATGTACTGGAAAACTAGTCATGATTCTTTTGGATCATACCTTCAACGGATCCAAATTTTAGAGTCCAGTATCGAAATAATCTCAATAATAATATCTGCTTGCGTTAGTTAGAAATTGTGCTTGGCTAGTAGCAGCAAAGCTTATCACTAATGATTTCCTAATGAGAAGTCTGGAGCTATGCTCTCAGGGACTGATACCTTGGCAGTATAATGTCATTAAGTGCCTTGGCTTCATTTTTTAAGCATTTGTAATTGCTTATTTACAATATGGCTTCCAGATCTCTTTCATGTGTTTATGCCCCAGGTGAGAGAAAGGGGAAGGGCAAAAATCAAATACCAGGTAAATTAACAACAATCACCCATTCTTTAAGGAGTTTTTCAATTATTAAGGAAGAAAGGTAAACTATATTTTAAAGATTACATCCTGTAAAAAGAAAAGTTTAGAAGGTAGGGTAATTTGGCGAAAAGGTTGATGAATTTGCTCATAGATAGATTGAGATTGAATTAATGATGGTAAAGACATCTGTAAAGCAGTGTACAAAATCTCAGGAACTGGTTTGAGGCTGGACATTGAGATACAGAGCTGTCAGCATAATAACTGGATGGGCAGAAGCTTAACTGCTGTTGCTGCAAAAATATGGAAGTGATCTCTCTCACTGTCCACTCTAACATACACTAAAGTAAGCCAAGTATTTTAGGCTGTAATTTGCAGAAGCTAGAGAGATTGTTGTGAGTTCACACATCACTAATGGCGTCAGAAATTGCATTATAGTTAATGGCGGCTCATGATTAGGAAATCACCTATCTTCACCTGTCTAATTCAGTCTCCAACAACTCAGGCAACTGCATTTCTCAGTCCCCAGGCCAGTCAATTCACAGAATCAGATAGTGTCTTCCTCCAGACTTCTTTTAGGACCTTTCTTCTCTTTGGCTCAATTAGCCCTCCCACATTGCTAAGGCAAGGATATTTTACACGTCTTATTCTAAAAAGTGCTTCTATTTTCCTTATCTAAGGATTTCTTTTTCCCCTCAAGTACCTATATACATTAGCTAATGCTTCACACAACAGTGTAAGCTTTTTGCATATCCAGAGGGGCTGGTAGAAATAGGAAACACCTTAATACTAGGTGATCCCAAGTCCTTGTCATTAAGAGATATAATAATGCGGTGGCTCACGCATGTAATTCCAGCACTTTGGGAGTCCGAGGCAGGTGGATCATGAGGTCAGGAGTTCAAGACCAGACTTGACAAGATGGTGCAACCACATTTCTACTAAAAATACAAAAAATTAGCTGGGGGTGGTGGCAGGCACCTATAATTCCAGCTACTCAGGAGGGTGAGGCAGGAGTACTGCTTGAACCTGAGAGGCAGAGATTGCAGTGAACTGAGGTCATGTCACTGTCCTCCAGCCTGGGCAACAGAGCGAGACTCCGTCTCAAAANAAAAGAAAAAATCCAGAAAAGAAATGTAATAACCACCAGGCACTAGAACTGTTCTGGATGGTCAGTTTAATTCTTGTCTTTGCCAAAGCATCCGAACTCTTCTCAAGCCAATATCTTTCCCCAAACCTGCCCTGACTTTCTTCGTAGCAACTTGTTAGTTTCTTCCTCAATATTTATTTTTTCGGTTGCGTTTAAAAAAAATATTTATTTATGTAATGTTTGTTCTGAATTAGAATGTCACTTGCCGGTGCTCAAGAATAAGTGCTGAATGTGTAAATGAATAAATGAATAAATGGAAGATATAAAATAAGAAAATTATATTACAAATTACTGTATATATAAATCTGTACTATTTAGTGAGATCTAAGTGGGGATTACAGTTATTAGCAAATACACACAATTTAGAAGGGGGACCAGGCATGGTGTGTGGTTCAAGCCTGTAATCCTAACACTTTGAGAGGCTGAGACAGGAGAATTGCTTGAGCACAGGTGTTTGAGACCAGCCCTGGCAGCATAGTGAGACTGTGTCTTTACAAAAAATATATAAAAATTAGCTTGGCACAGTGGCACATGTATGTAGTCTGAGCTACTTGGAAGGCTGAGGTGGGACAATCACTTGAGCCTGAGAGGTGGAGGCTGTAGTGAGCCTGTGGTTACATCACTGTACTCCAGCCTGGGCTACAGAGTGAGAGTTTGTCTAAATAAATAAACACAGCTGCACAGTTCATAAAAATGATAACTATTTGAATGACAGAAACTTTTGTTGCCTACGTTTTTCAAAACAGATGGAGGCCTAGGTTATAACTAGATCCCTAAATTATTTGTGGTTTTCTATGAGGCAAACAGTGGTTGGAGACATTTAACATATTAAATAAATTCACAACTTTAATGTTTTTTATTCTAATGCTAGGATCTTTGAGACTACTGATAAGAGAGGCAAGTGTTTTAATCATTGACTTTAGCCCTGTGGGGAATAACATGAATTCATTTAGACTGATGTCTGCCAAGTTCAAGACCTTTTTGCTTTTAAGAATCTAGACATCTATTTTTTCATAAATATTCAAACATTATCTCAGTTACTAACTTTGAGATTTGACAAAGAGAGCAATTCAGGTTTTACTATTGGCTCAATTGATGCATGAGTGTATGGGTTATAATCTCGTTAAAATTCTCTTATCAAACACTAATATCAGTTGTCCTTTTGCTATTGGATATGACTTATATAGAAGTGTTCGAGGCTACAGTAACACACTCCACCCCAGCCTGGGTGACAGAGCAAGTCCCTGTATCAAAAATAAATAAATAATAATAGTAATAATGATGAATTTGAAATTCTAATGACATATTCAAAGCCATTGTGAAGATTACTGTGGTGTTCATTTTGTACTGTCTGACAGAAAAGCAAACACATTAGTGAGACACAGGTTATAAACCTTCTAGTAGGTAAGTAGAGTTTTAAATAAGGCATGCATTTATGTGATTAATATGACAGATCAGGGACTCCGCGGGATTTAGTGATGAGCTACACAAATAATGAAATCATTTTAACAAATTATAATCAGACATACATTTTGAAGACTTTTCTTTATTCAATGTTCAATTAGGTACTCAATTGACAGAAACACAGACCTGGAGAGATACTTCAATATTGATGCCAACAGTGGAGTTATCACAACTGCCAAGTCTTTGGATCGAGAGACAAATGCTGTTCACAATATCACAGTCCTTGCAATGGAGAGTCGTAAGTTGTGAGGCTTAAAACTAAATTAAGATGGAGGACAGTGAGTGGAGAATTGATTGTCATGAGATTATAAATTCAGCTTGATTAAAGTAGTTGCTTATTTGAATTGAATAAAAACTTGAAAATTCCAAACTTCTAAGCTGTGAAATATACTTACATTCACTGTCTTTATATGCTAACATTTACAAAATTTATGAAAACCCAAGACTAAAAAATAATGGGCCTGTAGTACCTTCTTATTTTCTGATTGCAATTCACATATTGTTTTTATGCTGGTATGTAGTTAGTGAAATCGTTTTTAATAATTAGTAAATTGATCTGTAACCAAGACAACTGGATTTGAATATTCTGATATTGAACTAATTTTAGTCCCTCATAAAAAATAAAATAAAATAATAAATAATAAAATATAATGAAAATGATTGAAAAAAGAATGCATATTTGCATATGTATATGACTGTGATATATTGGATATTTAAATATGTATGCATTTATAATACATGTGTTGATAATGAAAATGTATAGTCATGCAAATATGAGCTCTACCATCAAAGATTATTGAAATTTGTGGTTTACTGTTCATTTTTCTTTCAGTAATTTTCTCATCAGGGACTAAAAAACTACAAGTACACATATAGACTATAGTATACATTAAGATATATATACATACATGTGTATCCAAATACACACATATGTATGTACATATATGTATGTATACACATGTACACATATACATACATAGGAATGTGTGTGTGTATTTGGATCATATTTTCATATGATCCAAAGCTCCTTTTAAGTAATACAGCATTATGATTTTAGATTTTATTCTCAGCTTAGTTATTGATATTAGAATTGTGCTTTAGAGAGGCAAAGAGTAAATCATAAGAAACTCTCTTATTTATTAGAGAATCCATCTCAAGTAGGAAGAGGCTATGTGGCCATCACAATACTTGACATCAATGATAATGCCCCTGAGTTTGCCATGGACTATGAGACCACCGTCTGTGAAAATGCCCAGCCAGGGCAGGTAAGAGTCTTCAGAATGCTTTGCTTCTAATTTGTGATTTCTTAAAAAATATCCAGCAGCAGTTGCCTTTGAACTTCTTCCAGCTTTAAGATAAAATATAATCGGCTTGTTTCAGCAAAACTAACACTTTGATGTGTAGCATGAACTAATATTAAAGGAACCTTCAAATTTCAGTTTAATTGGGGTGATGAAAATTCCTCAGGAAGAAAAGGTAAACATTATAAAAGCCCTGTTAAATGGCTAAGAACTTAGACTCCTTTAAGGAGAAAGATACAGCATAGTAAACTGATTGGGCTGTTTCCCACCTTACACAACAGGGTTTAAGTATCTTAAAATTCTAAGAATTAAGTGCAGTGCAATCTCAGTTGGTTTGTTCATCTATTGTTCAGTGTCTTGTGATGTTTACTGGGATGTCTAATCAATTGGTACAGCTTATTTCTGAAGTTCACAAAAGTGAAGTCAAGCATGAACTATGAAAAGGACATGATTCGTTTTTCAGAGCCTGTTTTTAGATGGGGTTCATAATAATACATCTGATCCTTTCTCCCTAGCTCATTCAGGGAGATGATATTTATTATAAAGTGTAAAGTTACTCTGTCCTGCCTCAGAAAACTAAACATAGCACAACAGTGTGCTTTCCTGTTTTACTTTCTCCTTTCCTAGGTTATCCAGAAAATCAGTGCTGTTGATAAAGATGAGCCATCCAATGGACACCAGTTTTACTTCAGCTTAACAACGGATGCAACAAATAACCACAACTTTTCATTGAAAGACAACAAAGGTAAGGTATTAATATTGTTACTGATAGAGGTAGCAGGTATAGATACTCTAAGCAAACACTTTTTCCCCCTCAGAAGTGCTGATTACAGAATTTTTTTTAAAAGAAAGGACATTAATTAATTAAAGAGCAATGAGCACCTAAAGTAATTTTTATCTATGGATTTACTGTCATGAAGGAAAAGCTGCTATTTAAATCATTTTAGGCCTAAAGCCAAATAAGAGGAAAAGCTGGATTATTCTTTTGCTTTTCTTATAGACACTCATTCTCTTATTTGTATACCAAGTTCATTATCCAGATAATCTATTAAGTTGATGGTTATTTAAATACCTTAATAAGTACTATGCTCAGAGATGCCACTTGAGATGTTGGAAAAAGAACTGGACATTACACATTTTAATCTGAATCAACTTTGACTTAATGTTTTCAATAATAACATCTCTTACTCTTTTATTTTACATAAACACAAATGTAATTCATGCAAATAATAAAATAATGATATATTTATGATCCTAAGAAATATAAAATTAAAACTAACAGAATATCTCCCTCTCATATCAAATTACATTTCTCTGCTTCAAAGGTAAATACTCTTAGCGCTTTCCTAAATGTCATTATAGTAACATGTTTACAAATACCTATAAGTAGATTTTAGTTTTGTTTAATAATATATATTGACAATTATAAGAACTTAAAGCATTAGAACCTTCTATCATTGTCTAATTTTGAATTATATATTTGAGTGGGTTTTTATTCAAGATATTTACTTTAGCAGAAGAAGAGCATTTGAAACCGATATAAAGAGTGAATACTATCCCCCAACAACATGGAAAATAAATATTTTTTTAAAAACTTTATATTGTTTATGTAAATCTGGTTTCAGGGAAAAATATAGAAATGGATTTGCCTGTCAATTCTTGCTTGTTTCAAAAAGACTTCCTTCCACTTTGGGAGGCCAAGGTGGGTGGATCACGAGGTCAGAAGATCGAGACTATCCTGGGTGACATGGTGAAACCCCATCTCTACTAAAAATTAGCCGAGTGTGGTGGTGCGAGCCTGCAGTCCCCGCTACTCGGGAGGCTGAGGCAGGGGAATTATTTGAACCCAGGAGGCAGAGATTGCAGTGAGCCGAGATCTCATCACTTTACTCCAGCCTGGCAACAGAGCAAAACTCTGTGTTTAAAAAAAAAAAAAAAAAGACTTACTTTCAAAAGGTGGATAAGAACTTTTGTCTGAAGCAATCACCTTATTTAGTGCCCTTGGCCTCAAAACTTCAATCTGAAAATAATAATTTTTCCTGATCCTATTTTCTACTCAATGAAAATACTATCTTGTCCCTTCAATAATATGAAAGGTAGAGCATTCTCTACATGGGTAACTACAGACTCACTGACTTAATCATAGTTAAGAAGGATAATTCTCAGCATTTGGATTTATCTGGTACAAAAGCAGAGAAAGGAATTTATGTCTTTCACAAGGAGAATGTGAATATATCCCCCGTGTGTCCTCATTCAGTACCACCATGATTGATGTACAACATGTGCACTAAAATTTCTCCATTTATAGGACATCCACATTGCCACACAGTTGAAAAGTTCTCTGGCTTATACCCAGAGCTCCCTTGACTGTACCTTGAAGGAAAACATATGAATACAGAGAAAGTCAGTTCTTAAGAAGTCTTCCATCTTAGGGAGCAAACATGGGACATTATAAATTTTATGATCACTTTTCTAATTATAGAGTCATAGTCTCACTTTTTGGGCATTTCAGCTTGTGTTCCTCAATTCACCAAGTGTATGTGTGTTTGTGTGTGTATGTGACTGTGTGTGTGTGGGTGTGTGTCATTTTGATATGTCATGTTAGATTGATTACAAATCAACGACTTTCTAAAACTTTTTGTATCAAGTAATAAATGCATCTGACATCTGAGTTGGTAGGAGGCAAAGGCATAGACCTAAGTGCTATTGTGAAATGTATAGGAACTTACTCAAAACAGCATCCTTTAACAACTCCAGCTTAATTTTTTAGTGAGTACCTTCTCAAATTCATACATTTTAAAATGTATGAATGATTTGTTTACATAAAAACCTACCAGATGGAATCTGAAAATCAAACTGTTTTATTACCTTCTCTTTTATAATTGCATGTAATACATTTTCTGCAGTCTAATATGAGCTTGCTGTTTTGTGCTGTTTGAGAGAGATTTCATCTTCCTCTTTCACAAGCGTACTAATTTTTTCATGCTATCATTGAATAAATCCTTTTGACAGTTTAGAAGAGAGAAAAATATGTAAAAGCACAGTGCATGAAACCCCGATCCTGATTTTTCTTCTTTTCCTTTATATTTTTATTAATAGCCATTAGTTTAAAAAATCTCATACTCTAGTTAATTAAGACAAGTTAGTTGGAAAACGGCTAACAGATACAAACCTATTTTTGATATATAAATCACACACATAGACATTGATAACTTTAAGTTTATAATTACCATAATTGCTTAGATGAAGTAAAATATTAAATAGAAGTTAAACATAAATGGCCTTTTTTATCACTGACAAAATGTTTATACACACAGAGTAAATACAAATATCAATATATTATTTTCAAATTGTTACAATAAAATTATTCTGAATATCTCTGCATATTCAATTTAAATAAAGCTAAAGTAGCTGATTTTACCATTTTAAATATAAATTTTGGTCTTGAAACCTGTCAAAGAGAGGATAGATTGAAAATTTTATCTGTACCATATGATGCTGCAAAATATTTAACCTGTCAATATGTACCATCCTTTCTATAAGTTTATGGTGTCAAATTTGAGACAAGTAAAAAGGTGTAGTTTTGATAAAGTTGCAGTTAATGTAATAAGTTGTGCATAAACATTTTTATATTTTATTTTACTTTATAACTTTGTTATACTGTATAAAAGAACATAAATGTCTTATAATGTATTAAACTGGAAATGTCTCCTTGTCCAAGATAACTCAAAGAGAATTGTTGAAATAAATCTGCAACTCCAGAGATTTCCCTAATTAAGGCATCAAAGTAAACAGAGTGACTTAAAGTTTGGGAAGACTGGTTCCATCAGAAATCTTGTGTTATACATTTGCTTTCTTTGTCCTAGACAACACAGCCTCAATACTGACCAGGAGAAACGGCTTCCGGAGACAGGAACAATCGGTTTACTATCTGCCAATTTTCATTGTGGACAGTGGATCTCCTTCACTTAGCAGCACCAACACCCTCACCATCCGAGTGTGTGACTGTGACGCCGATGGCATAGCCCAGACCTGCAATGCAGAGGCCTATGTCTTACCTGCTGGCCTCAGTACAGGAGCCCTGATAGCAATACTTGCCTGTGTCTTGACATTATTGGGTAGGTACTGTCTCCAGAAATTGCTCTGTAAGAGCTGTCGCAATAACCATGTGTCACAACTTGCCTGTTTTCTTCTCCATTTGGTGAGCATATGCAGATATTCTTCCGGATGGTGATTTTGTTGTTGTTGCTACAGTTGTTGAGATGGGGTCTCACTCTGTTGCCCAGGTTGGAGTGCAGTAGCACAGTCTCTATTCATTGCAGCCCCTGCCTTTTGGGTTCAAGCACTTCTCCCACCTGAGCCTTCTGAGTAGCTGGGATTACAAGGGTGTGCCACCACACCCAACTAATTTTTGCATTTTTAGTAGAGATGGGGTTTCACCATGTTGGGCAGGCTGGTCTCGAACTCCTGACCTCAGGCGTTACACCTGCCTTGGTCTCCTAAAGTGCTGGGATTACAAGAGACAGCCACCGCTCCCAGCCTGGATAGTGTTATGCTCACTAACTGACACAATTGTTGGCCACACTTTCCAGTGGTATATTTAAAGTATAACTCAGAAAAAAAGTTGTATCAATTTCATTTCCAAAACGACAGTAAGGATAAATGGCTTATACTTGAAATTATTTTTTTACAATTAAAAATAATCTATCTTATCCCAATTCTTTGCTTTAGAGCACTCTGCAGAGAAGATACACTAGACTGGAGAGTACATTTTCTATATTGTTTTGATTATATGCTTATTTTAGAAATTGTGGCTTTGTATTCTACTTTTTAAAGAAAAATATTTAAGATGGCTTTCTTAAATTATTTGCAAATTTGAAATGATTACAATTTCAGAAATGCAAATGTTATGTTTTAAAGTATTAAATACTAACATTTAATTGCACTTTTCTATTGTACTTTTCATTACTCAGTTAAATAAGTTTTGTAACTCATATTTACAGTTACATAAGAGATTTTGCAGCATCGTTTTAAAAATTGGGAGATGTCCAATGTGGACATTGGATAACGGGTTTATTCTGAAGCAACATTTTCCTTCACAGTGTAATTTCCTGTAACAAGGACAAGAAGGTAATATTTTACTTAAAACAATACTCTGTGTTTTCTTGTGGTTTAATAGAATTAGTGAATCCTCTTATGACATTGTTAATAACAGCCTTTACAATGGTAATCACCATTGTAAAATGTTTAAAATCTAGATTTGTGGATTGAGGTAAACCTAGCTTTTATTTCTGCCTCCAACATGCACTCCTTCCCAAGGTTAATGTTAATCCTTCAATAGCTGGTTAATTTATCTAAAAGAGAAAAATAACCAAACTAGATTCATAAGATTGTTGTGAGAATTAAATGAAACATCTCATATAAAGAACAGAGTGAACATTCAATATACCATATCATTTAGTGAACATTCAATAAATTTTAAGTGTTACTGATGGAAAATTCTAAGCTAAGACCTAGTTAATAATACATTGTAAATGCTCTCATAAAAAATGGAAGTTATTATTTTAAGTAACTTAAGCTAAACAAGTAAATCTAAAAAAAAAAACAACTATATTTTTCATAGAGCTTTACACAGATTTTGAAACTTTCAGAGTTTCATTAGAAATGAAAGTTAATGACTAGCTAAATATAATTAGAATGTAAGGGATTAAAGTTTTAAAAAGGTGAAACCATTGCAAACAAACAACTTTTTATTGGTCTAGAAGCTTCTAAAACCAGTTTGTCCAACCTGTGGACCTCAAGCCACATGCAGCCCAGGATGGGTTTGAATGCGGCCCAACACAAATGATTAAACATTCTTAAAACCGTATGAAATGTTTTTTGGGTTTTTTTTGTTTGTTTTTTTATTTGTTTTTTAGCTCATCAGCTATTGTTATTGTATTTTATGTGTGGCCCAAGACAATTATTCTTCTTTCAATGTGGCCCAGAGAAGCCAAAAGATTTTGGCTTCTAAAACATTAATAAAAAATAGATTTTGGTATGTAAAACATTAATAAAAAAGATGTAAATTGCAGGCCAGTCACAGTGGCTCAAGTCTGTAATCCCAGCACTTTGGGAGGCTGAGACAGATGGATCACCTGAGGTCGGGAGTTTGAGACCAGCCTGACCAACATGAAGAAACCCCGTCTCTACTAAATATATGAAAAAAAAAAATCAGCTGGGCCTGGTGGCACATGCCTGTAATCCCAGCTACTCAGGAGGTTGAGGTAGGAGAATAGCTTGAACCTGGAGGCAGAGGTTGAGGCGAGCCAAGATCGCACCACTGAAATCCAGCCTGGGCAACAAGAGCAAAACTGTCTAAAAAAAAAAAAAATGTAAATTGCATATTTATTTTATAGTAGCAGAATAACCTACATTAGAAGATTTTAAAATTCATTCATGTTTAGAATGTCTTTAGCTTGAAAGCGCAGAATCAGAAAGAATAATTAAAGGATAAGTAGATGGTGTGTGGAAGACTTTTTAAGTTTGGTCAGTTTATCATAACTCAGATTATACTGTAAAGGAATAAGATTGTATTCACCAAATTTTAATTATCCTCAATAATGAATTGATTTTTGATTATTTTAAGGCTGTCTGAAGAAACTTGCTTCACTTTAGTAAATACTTTCACCTTTGACTTTGGGGTTCCTTGCAATTTAAGTTGCTTGATGATTACAGTTAATTAAGAATTATCAGCTAATTAGTACTGAAAGTAACTGAAATAGAGTGTTATTCTATTTTATTCTTAGATATACTGTTTATGAGTATACATATATAGTATGTACATGTGTGTTTGTGTGTGTGTGTCTGTGCATAAATATTTGGGAGAGTATATCAACATTTAAGCATGACTACTCTTTCTGCTAAATTTGAACATATTGCTTAATTAGACACCAAATTTGAAATGCCTCTTCCACTTCTAAGGATCAAGTTTTTGTGCCCTATATTTTATTCATTTTTTTAAGAGTTACTCCAAGTCTCCAAAAATGTAAATAAAACAAAGTCTATTGTACTGAAATACAGTTTGGAACAAGGGGCTTCTGCCTGCAGCTTCCATTTCTATAGTAAGCCCACAATAATCAGTATCATCAAATGCTAGCATTTTGGCTCAGAAATGTGGTCTCTTTGTGTCTTATTTTCCAAGTTTTTAAAATCAGATAATCAGGAATTTTTATACTGTTTGATTTTGTCACCACTGCCATAGACTCCGGACTTTCACACAATAAGTGCTGAAGCCAATGAGATGAAGTATTCACAGGGAGTGCAAGTGGGGCACACAGCCTGGCATGGAGCTTGATTTCTAGTACACAAATAATTCATTGTTTATGACACCTCAGAAAGTCGTGTGAATCTCATGTCTAGGCATTAGGTATCAGGATTTGTAACTCAAACCTTTTCAGACTTCTGAACAAATATTACTAGGAAAAAGCAAGGTGATGAGGTGGGGATGGGGAGTAAGAACTTGAAAATCAAGTTCAATTAATAATGAATTATAAAAGCACCTGGACTTTTAGACTCTTAACAAAAAAGGTACGTAACTATGTGTTAAGTTTGTGTTTCAGTGATGTGACAAACTTGTAACATGACAGGTGAGATGCACTGATATTTTCAGAAATGTAATGCCAAAAGGCATCCCAGGAATTGATTCTAATCCAAACCTATGCACCTTACAGAGGGAAAACTTAAGGTATAGGTAGGTTTGAGGACTTGTAGGAGTTCATATCACAAGGTAGAGGATATGATGCGATAAGATTCTGGGACTCCTTATTCTCAATCACTGAATTTTATTAAACTGCACCAGAAATACATCTTGAAATTATAAAAATTGTTTACTCCTATTTAGTGCTGAAATAATTTATGTTATCTGAAGTTGGATGGCAGTCTTCACCTCTATCTGTATTCTTTTAACTTTACGGATGAACTGCTTTCTGATTTCTCATTCTTGCTGTCACCTCCCTCTCTAATTTATTTGCACCTGAATTCTCTAAATGAAGAAAAAAAGATCCAAAAGTTAGAACATGGGATTTCTTAATTTACAGTGAGTATAATTTCAATGAGCTATAATTTCAATGAGCTCACATTTCATGATAAAATAATCAATTAGGTGCCTCAATTATTTTTTATGCAGAAAAATTTCATCAACATATGGCAAGATACTCTGGTATTCTAAATTTTGAATAGAAATTACAACCCATCACTAACATTGATATCAATTTAATTATGCATTTTTATCATAGTTAAATTCATACTTACAGATATATAGTTATTCTTCCACTAGGCTAAAAATACTTTTAAAAAATTGCACGAATGACTGGCATATTAGATTATTTATTCAGCAGATTTAAAAAAAATAAAAAGGAAGAACTTCAGCTGTTTTCTTTAAAAATATGGTTTCAATATTGAATATTGTACTTTTATTCTGAAAATATTATAGTTAAATTCTTTCTGCTCCTACACACACACACACACACACACACACACACACACACACACACACAAAATAAATAAAACCTGTTTCTTGCACTATAAAGCTGCTACTGAATTTACTCTAATGTTTTGGGTGTTTTTGTACTTGGACTTCGAGGTCCCAGTAATTGAAGTCCTGTGGCATTCCTTCCAGCTCTTTGCTCTTCTGACACAATTGGGATTAGTTAGATAAGCCCAGCTTCATAAACTTGGGTTTAATAAGTTGTTTGTAGAAACTGGCTCTTCACTGCATGGGAGTCAGTCTCTTTCAGTGTGTCTATGATGGTCAGCTTGACAGTCAGCTGTCACGCATCTTTTCGCTTTTCTTCCCTGATCTCCCAAGTACTAAACTACAGTTGGCCACTTGTAACTGTGGCTATTCATGATTTTATTCCAACAGAAAAATTCTTTCTTATTTTTGCAAGTGATAGCAAATGCTACTGAAGAAAAATATCCATTGAACTGTGGAGAAAAAAAAAGTAATAGCACTATGTAACAAAAATGGATCCCCATCATCATCCATAATGATAGAACATAATTGTCATAGCAGCTCTAGAGATAATAATGTGCAGACTACAGTTGGCTAATTTATGATAGCAGATGTGTTCCTTTT